ATAATGCTGTGATTCACACCTGAGAAGACAAAGGCCTGCATAATGAGCTGCATAATGAGCTGTCAGGTGTGTGACTGAGAGGGAATTGCTACAAGAAAAAATGTGAGGAAAAAAGAAATTTATATATTTTTTGTTTGTAGTTTATTTAGAATATATATATAACTATCACATAAAATAACTTGAGATTTACTTGCGAGAGCAGTTGAACTGTTTATTAGGAAAAAAACAACAACAACACAACACAAGAGTCAAGACGTCATGGGTGCAATATCCAAAATATCCAAAACAGCGGCAGGAAACTTTAACAACATTTTGAAGAGCAGGGTTCCTACGCTTCTTGAAAGTACTTGAAAGTACTTGAATTTCAGACGTATGAATTCAAGGCCTGGAAAGTACTTGAAAACAAACATAGGTCCTTGAAAGTGCTTGAATTAAATTTGAAATTTCAACATCAGTCTCTGTTTTCCATGACCGAGTGGGCTGCTTTGCTTTGGCTCTCTTTGCAACAGGTTCTTTTACACTGTTATTCTCACATCTGAAATAAAAAAGTAAGCATGCTGTTTACACAAACTACATTATTAACATTATTGTGATGTTCACTGATACTAGTACTAATTTATCGAAACAAAGAACACAATTACCACATAGCAAACATAGTTTACCATACAGCAAATAAATCAAATGAAAGTAGCATCTGTAAAATAGTGAATGCACACTTACTCTAAGATTCTAAATGTTTGTTTGCTGTGATGTGGGCGTTTACATGCCGCGCGTCTCACGTGGACTATTGTAATATCAAAAGCGCGATCGGCTCGTGGGTGTGGTCACATTAGAGATAATGAAGGTAGACGGGAAAGACTGGACATTGCGTTGTTTTCATACGGATTACTTTATCACAGAATATTTGTTTTCAATAAGAATTGCTTCGTTTAAAAGTAGACATGTCAAGCTTTCTATAGATACTGTATATCTCTCATGTCTCTTGTGTCGAGAATTCGCTGAGTTTCAGTTAATTTTTGTGACACGTTTCAAAATGAAAATCACGTAGACCAACAGCACACCCTGTGTGTTTTCTTTATTTTACAAAAGCACAAAGTTTTGTTGTTATTATGCGTGTATACAAATAAAAGTAGACCCTTTACAGATTCGATTGATGTATTGCTCTTATCTGTACGATCAAAACTGAGTAATTTAAGTTCCTTTAGGGGCTTTCAAAAAAATTAAACAAAACGCACCGACACATTTTTGGACTCCAGAGGGTTACATTGATCAAAAGTGATGATAAAGACATTTGTAATGTTACAAAAGATTTCTATTTCAGATAAATGCTGTTCTCCTGACCTTTCTGTTCATCAAAGAAACCTGAAAAAATTCTACACTGTTTTCAACATAATAATAAATGTTTTTTGAGCAGCAAATCAGAATATTAGAATGATTTCTGAAGGATCATGTGACTGGAGTAATGATGCTAAAAATTGAGCTTTGAAATCACAGGAATAAATTACATTTTTTAAATATTTTCAGAAGAAAGCAGTTATTTTAAATAGTACAAATATTTCAAAATGTTACTGTTTTTGCTGTACTTTGGATCAGAAAAATGCAGGCTTGGTGAGCAGAAGAGAATTCTTTAAAAA